CTCTGGGTGGGGGTGCCAGCTCTGGGATGGGATGAGGAGTTTGGGGTGGAGGAAAGGGCTCAGGGCTGGGGCAAAGGGTTGGGGTGAAGGCTGTGACTGGGGGGTGCGGGATCTGGGATGGTTCTGGGGATGAAGGATTCAGGTTTCAGGCTCTCCCCCAGGAAAGAGGGCTCCACCCAGTCCTCTCTCACTGCAGCAGGTCCCGTGAAGCTGGGTTGGGCGGGGGCTGGAGAATTTACCTCCCAGCTACGGGAGTTTTGAAAAGGTGCTTCTCCCAGGACCCCTGGATACAGGTCTAGCATCAGGGACCCTGGAAGGCAGAAGAGTCCCCAGCGGCCAGCAAGCAGGGACCGAGAATGGAGACCACTGGACTGGTGGTGGAGACCCCCAGAAGTCAGGGCTCAGGGCCTGCAGCAGAACCCCCAGCAGCCAGGACCTGAAAAGTGGGGGAGCATCCTGTGCCCTGAACCCCAAGGCCAAGAGCAGAGCCCACGGTACGGGCAGCAGGGAGCCAGGGACCCTGGCATGGGGCACAGAATCCCTTACTGCCCGCACCTATGGCTGAGTATTATTATTAGAGCGTAAGGGCCAACTAAGAAAGAATCTCCCTGGGGCTAGGACCGGTCCAGACAGAGCAGCAGATCCCAGCCTGGAAAGAAGCCAGGGAACTAATCCACAGCCCTGTTCGGCCTTCTCCCTCCGAGCACAAACCAGGGCCCTGTGGGAACAGCCGGTAAGGATCTTCCCCCTCCCCAACTCCCATCCCCCAGGCCAAAGTGAGAGCCACTGTAAAGATGCTCCAGGCCGACAGGAGCACTCGGAGGTAAACTTCCTCCTTCCCCACCCCGCACCTCCGCACGTGGCAGAATCTACGTGTGCAGGAGAAGTTCTCACATGGACAGTGAGCTGTGCGCACGAGCACTTGTGTCAGTGCCTCTCGTGCTGCTTGGGGGAGGGAAGGGGGCTTATTCAACCCCCCTCTGTGACGTAATGTAGCCTTAGGAAGGGTAACGCAAATGCACAACCCCACCGGAGGATGGGTAGGAACACTGTCCCTAGCCTCTGTTTCTCTGGAGGTGGATGACCGGGGAGGGATCACGTGAGGATTACTTGTTATTTTCCCTCCCTCTGGGGCACCTGGTATTGGCCACTGTGGGCAGACAGGATACTGGCTAGGTGGACCTTTGGTCTGACTCAGTATGATCGTTCTTATGTGATTATGATGGTTTTATTTAGAAGCAATAAGATATTCGTATGTCTTATTCTTTATCCCTTTTTCAATGATTCCTAACATTCTGTTTGCTTGTTTGACTGCTGCTGCACGTGGAGTGGATGTTTTCAGAGAGCTATCCACAATGACACCAAGATCTCTCGCTTGAGTAGCTGTAGCTAAACTAGTCCCCATCATATTGTATGTATAGCTGAGATTATTTTTTCCGACGTGCATTACTTTACATTTCTCAACATTACATTTCATTTTCCATTTTGTTGCCCAATCACTTAGTTGTATGAGTTCTTTTTGAAGCTCTTCACAGTCTGCTTTGGCCTTAACTATCTTGAGCAGTTTAGTATCATCTGCAAATCACTGTTTACCCCTTTCTCTAGATCATTTATAAATAAGTTGAATAGGATTGGTCCCAGAACAATTATTGAGGGAATCGCATGATCACATATAAAAGGCTCATAGGATGAGATTTTTATTATAAATGCAGGTTAATGATCATTTCATTGAATTCACACAAATGGGGGAAACATATTACCATCAAAAATCATTGAAAGGTACAGACAAGCCAAGTGAGAAAAAAAAGTTGCTTTAGAATTTCTTAGAATAGTGATAGAAATGTAGCCGTGTTAGTCTGGGGTAGCTGAAGCAAAATGCAGGACAATGTAGCACTTTAAAGACTAACAAGATGGTTTATTAGATGATGAGCTTTCGTGGGTATCTGTTGGTCTGGCCCACGAAAGCTCATCGTCTAATAAACCATCTTGTTAGTCTTTAAAGTGCTACATTGTCCTGCATTTTGCTTTAGAATTTCTTAGAGTGTGATGTAAGGATAAGGACTATCATAAGAACTAGAAACAAAGAGGTAGCATATTTAAACCAAACAAAGGAAAGTATTTGTTCGCTCAGCGCACAGTCAACCTGTGGAACTCCTTGCCGGAGGATGTTGTAAAGACAGGACTTTAACAGGGTTCAAAAAAGAGCTACATAAATTCACAGAGGATAGGGCCATCAATATGTATTAGCCAGAGCTGAGCGGTGGACTCTTCTTGTTTCAGATGCGGGTGACCTTCAAGGAGGAGACTGTGTATTTCACCCAGGGGCAGAGGGCGCTGCTCAGAGAGCCCTTGACAGGGACATCATGCAGGAGAACTACGAGGCGGTGACCTCACTGGGTAAGGGAGTCCCGTCCCCTTGGCTATTAGAAGCTGGGAGTAGATGTAACCAGTTTGGCTTCTATTAAGTTACGTCTACACAGCATCTGGGAGGTGTGTGATTCTAGCTCAGCTAGATTTACATGTAGTAGTTTGGCTAGAGCCACGCAGTGACAGAATCTTTGTATTCTACTCCCTGTCCGTATTCATGAATATCTCCTCCCCTCCCTTCCTGCAATAAGCTCCATCCGCAGGGCAGATGTCACCCACTGACACTAAACAAGATCTGGCAGCGGGTTCCTCCCCAACTTTACCTCCCTCTGAGCCTTCGGAAGGGATGTGGAGGCAGAATCCAGCTTCTCCATTGTGAGTCCGTGGTACTCTCTTAGAAGTAGGTTATTTCTTCCAAGCACATTTTAAATTTTAAATTTCTAGTTTAAACCTCCGTCCCTGGCTTCACCCTGTGGTGTCATTGCTGTATCTGTTGCTTTTGCCAGCAGAGAGTATGGAAATGAGGCACTGATTAACATTTTGTTGCACTTCATTTGCATAATCTATTTGAGTCGTTTTTGCGCAAGGGGTTTTTGCATAAAAACAAGCAGTCCAGAGAGGCATAAGGATCTTGCACAAAAGGAGGTTTTGCACAAAAAGGAAACGTCCACGCGGCTTGTTTTTGCGCCAAAACCCCTTGCGCAAAAAAGTCTTGAATAGATGATGCAAATGAAGCACCACAACATGCTAATCAGCGCTTCATTTGCATACTCTCTGCCGGTAAAAGCGGGCAGTGTTGACATAGCCTGGGAAACTAGAGTGTGAGGCAGAACTGAAAATAAAGAGGAGTCTGCACGCTTAGAAGATGAGGAGGAAGTTTCCAGCTGTAATCGATCATCAAGACCCACTTCAGAAATGCAAAAGATACCAGTGGGTTGGGTAATGCTCCCTTTTCTGTCTGCCCGGCAGCTGTTGTGTTGTGTGTCTCCTCTTGGCCACTCCCCTTTTTTTCCCACGGGATGACTTGTGTCTGGATTCTCTCTCTGTGTCTTCCAGAGGGTGCTGGGTTGATGAGCGAGCATGAGGAGACTCCACAGCCGGAAAGTTGTGGCAATGTGGATCCACAGCGACCGATATTGGGAAGATCTAAGGGTCATTTTTCTGAGAATCAAAAACCCCAAAAACCCCATGGAAATCAGCGCGGGTCGGAGAGGCCACTGGGATGTGACCCAGGGAAGACAACGTGTAAACGCAAAAACGATGGTGGAGATTGGAAGAACCTCAAGGAAACCAGAGCGCAGCCGAGAAACCCCACAACAGAAAAAAAGAACACATGCACGGAGTGTGGGAAAAGCTTCATTCGGCGATCAAGCCTTGTTTCCCATCAGAGGATCCACACAGGAGAGAAACCCTACAAGTGCCTTGACTGTGGGAAAGGTTTCAGTCAGAGCTCAGATCTTATTTCCCATCGGATGATCCACACGGGAGAAAAACCCTATAAGTGCCTCGACTGCGGGAAAAGTTTCAACCAGGGTTCCCATCTGATTAGGCACGAGAGAACCCACACAGGTGAGAAACCCTATAAATGCCTGGAATGTGGGAAAAGCTTCATTCAGAGCTCAGATCTTATTTCCCACCAGAGAGCCCACCGGGGAGAAAGACCCTATAAATGCCTTTGCTGTGGGAAACAATTTTTTCATCGCTCGGATCTTGTGTCACATCACAGGATGCACACAGGCGAAACCGTCCATAAATGCCAGGACTGTGGGATAAATTTCAGTCGGCGGTCAAACCTCATTCGACATCAGAGGATCCACACAGGAGAAACCCCTTATCAATGCCCTGAGTGCGGCAAAGGATTCCATGACAAGTCCCGCCTTGTGGCACATCAGAAAATCCACCTGGGGGAGAACCCGTATAAATGCCTTGACTGTGGGAAAAAATTCAGTGACAACTCGCACCTTGTCACACATCGGCGAACCCACTCGGGAGAGAAACCCTATGCATGCCAGGACTGTGGGAAAAGCTTTATTCAGAGCTCAAATCTTATTGTACATCAGCGAATCCATACAGGAGAAAAACCCTATACATGCCCCGACTGCGGGAAACACTTTAATCGGCGTTCAAACCTGATCAAACACCAGAGAATCCACATAAGAGAAATCCCCTTCAATGCCTTGACTGTGGAAAAAACTTGAGTGACGAGTCACAAACTGGGTTTTACCCACGAAAGCGGATGCCCTACTAAATCTGTTACTGTCTAAGGTGCCACAGGACTCCTTGATGTTGTGTCATGACTCAATGCACATTGAAGAGCCCCTGCTGGGGATGGATTCTATAAATGTCTGGATTGTGGGACGAGTTGAGTTCTGTTCTTATTTCACAGCAGAAGCTCCGGAGCAAACACAGATGCTCCTCCTCCATGCTGCAGCCCTGGCTGTTGAGCGGAGGGTCCTTTGAGGATTGTCAAGAGCAGGAAAACTCATCTGGGCACAAGTTTATTGGGTAGTCGAGTGGAGTACTCCACTACTCGCTTTCCCCACTTCTTGCTGCCTCTGTATCAGAGGCAGCAAGTTTGTGTGTGGGGGGAGGGGGAAATAGGAGACGGTGCTGGGGGGAGCCAGTTTAAAAGCTGGTTTCTCCCCCTCCCCAGCACCATCTCTGCAGTGCCAGCTCCCCCACCCCTACTGCTCGGTCCTGGCTTGAGCCGGTTCCAGGCACTATCCCTGTTGCGGCTCTGCAGAGCGGCCCTTATCGATGAATAGTGTCGTCAATACAAATATCGACAACACAGTTAGCCAAATAACTGTCATTTAACATCTTTAAAGGAGACCAGGGTCAATCTGTTCTCCCGATTCTGAGCAAGAAGGAACGGTCGCTGGATTGTCGCCTTCTGTGAACCTTGCAGTGTTGTCCAGCCTGCTCTGTAGGGTGGGTGTTTCTCTCTTTGCTGAAGGCGTTTGGGTCACCTAGAGTCGTGTGACGTAACAGCAACAGGGACCACTGGATCCTGTAGGCTGGCCTCCCCCATATCTCAGGTCACCTACCCCACCCAGCCCTCCACACACTGAGCCCTACAGTGGAAATAAAACAGGCCCCATCTGCGCATATGAGTTTTGTCTGATGTGATGAAAAGTCAATTGATCGGGGACTTCACAAAATAAAAGCCCTTTGCAGGAAGGGACCTTTTTATTGTATTTGGTTTCCCCTCTCCCCCCACTACCATGAGAGCTACATGTGCTTTGAACTGTTATAATCTTACAGCACCCCTATATACCAACCCCAATGGGTGGATGTGAGCAGCAGGCTGGGAGGCAGAGACTGAAACGGAGAAGGGGGGTTGTAGCCTGAGTCCTGTGAGGAGGTGTGACCCTATCAGGAGTGGGGAGAGCATAGGACATGGGGGAGATACAGAGCTGGGGACCAGCAGGGTTTTTTCTGGAGATCCAGATAACTGAGGCTGAGAGCTGTTCAATCGCTGCACTGGTGCATGGTAGAGACAAAGCTGGCGCACGAGTGCTGGGTGCAGCCAGCCTGGAATAGGAAAGGGCCCAGGCAGAAAGAACCAGACTGAGTATGATCCTAGATCAGGTTTATTACACTAAGGTGCCACCGGACTCCTCTTTTCTTCATTAATAAAACAGGTTTCCATGGACTATTTCTAACTTCACAGTCAGAAGTGAGGTACGCACAGAGCCAGAATGTCCACATCCAGCCAATTGTAACTTTACACGTGATATGAGGAAAGGGCCCAGGCAGAAAGAACCAGACTGAGTATGATCCTAGATCAGGTTTATTACACTAAGGTGCCACCGGACTCCTCTTTTCTTCATTAATAAAACAGGTTTCCATGGACTATTTCTAACTTCACAGTCAGAAGTGAGGTACGCACAGAGCCAGAATGTCCACATCCAGCCAATTGTAACTTTACACGTGATATGTCCGTGTATAAAAGTGTAACACCGGGAGGGCAGGAATG